GGTTGTATATACCATATTTTCTATCACTATAAAGCAAACAGATGTCATTGCCATTCGAATATTTCAATCTACTCTGCATCCACACACACACCCGCGCGCGCACGCACACACACACACACACACACACACACACACACACACACACAAAACCCTAAATTATGCGTATTTCTCTCTTGTGTTCCTTCAAAGCATGTGAACGTAACTTTTGCATCCCCAAACTCGTGTGAATTTGTGCGCATAGCGAACGTTCTTTTGCCGTTGCTGTCAGGATTTCTTGTCTTTGAATACCCGAAAATCTATTCGAAATTAACCGTTTTATCTCAAGTGACCCTATCCCCCTCCGAAGAAATGTCTCCCTGACCTGCGCGTTCTATTAACCGTTTCACTGTGTAAGATCAGTAGCGCTGATCTATTTCCTGTAATTGGACTTAGAAGTACCCAAGAAAAAGCGTGCCAGCCTGTTCACCTGCTAACCTAATTCAAAGCTTAATAGGTTTCATTTTAAAATCTTTCGAAATTCCTACACTACCAACCTCTTTTAAGACGCCGACATTTGGTACGGATCTAGAGACTCCGAGAATTAATTTGTAATAATCTGTTTTGATGCTTTCCAATCTCGTATCTATTCTAACTGATTAGGTAGCTGATTGCAACCTTGTCGAACTGAGGTACGTACAGATACAGCTGAAGAGCTGATTCTGGAAAAAAATACACATATTAATCGTGTAGTGTGGTCAGTAATGGCGTATACGCCAATAATAATAATAATAATAATAATAATAATAATAATAATAATATTAATAATAATAATCACATTCCTACAATCCTAACGCAATCACAATACAGCTAATGACAGGATACAGGCATAGAAATCAAAAGTTCTCCATGGTAGATTTCCCCATTCTCTTGACAGTGCTGATAAAGACGCATCAACGCCATCATTGGCTTAGTGATGGGTTTCTTTTCGGAGAAACTGAAGGTCTTATCCATGCCATACAACACCAAGTTATAGCCACAAATAAGAAATACATAGAAAAACAAGACATCGAAGATGAATGCAGAATTTGCAACCGACCATCAGAAACAATTGATCATCTTGGTACAGTTTGTACACATATGGCCAATACCGAGTATTTTGTTCGTCATAATATCACTACAAGCATTGTTCACCAGGCCTTAGCATTAAAATTCGGACTTCTCTGAGAGAACAGACTTGCCCATATTATGAATATAAAGCTAGACTTATTATGGAAAACATATATCGCAAACTGTACTACGATATTCCAATTCACACGGATTAGTGTTATGCCGCCAATAGACCCGACATTGTATTGCACAGTTTGAGAGAAAAAAATCAATTTTCATTGATGTCACTCATCCGCCTGATCACATTATTAATCAAGAAAAATCTGAAAAAATATCTAGGTACACACCACTTGCAATAGAATATAAAGAAATGTACAAACTCAGTACAGTTAAAGTAATCCCAATAGTAATCACAGCATCTTGTTTCATCAACAAACATTTAAAGAGATACTTGAAAACATTTGGCTTAGACCCTAATAACATAATTCCTCAAGTCCCAAAATCAGTGATTCTGGAAACATATAGAATTCTTCGCAATGTGCACACTAGCAAATCAACACTAGCTTTGGTTGAGATATGCATGTATGACCTCTCAAAAAGTAAACACGAGAGATAAACACTGAGAATAATAATAATAATAATATAATTTTAAGACCCGGGAAATCGATCGAATTCATCATTGACTTATTGAGTTTTGCAAGGCAAGTATAAAGTCGTGGGGTACCAGGTTACTAATGTACAGCGCGAAGGAAGCAGTGGAAATAGGTATTCAGATTAACAGGGTTATTTTTCAATGAGATTCGCTATCCCATTTGCTGTTTTGCATTAGTTTGATACCATTATCTAGACAGTTGTCGCAAGCTGAGTTTGGTTACAAGCTTCATGGTGATGAAAGACAAGTATCACATTTGTTTTACATGAATGGTCTTAAACAGTTTCCTAAGAATGAAGCGATTCTCTTCCAAATGCTGTCTGTCGTGAATGACTTTAGCAATGACATCTGCATGAAGTTTGATCTTGACATGTGTTCAAAAATTAATGTAAACATAGGCAAAGTGACGTCAAAGAGCATTGAATTTAATATGCACTCTGTGATTCAAGATCTTGAGCCAGGTAAAACTTAAAAATATCAGGGCATTGAGCAATGTAAGACCATCAGAACGTCGCAATGGAAGAAAGAATTTGCAGGGAGTTATATAGTGAGACTTGTCCTTCAGCCTGATCTGAACTCCAGGAATAAAATATCTTCAATAGGTAGTTTCGCGGTGTCTGTAGTTGAGTACAGTTTCCTACAGGTGGACTGGAATGAGCAAGAATTTCGAATCGTGGATCGCAAAACTAGAAAACTGCTAACAATGCATCATGTCGCCTACCCTCGAGCTAATGTACATGTGTCACGTAAGGAAGAAGGAAGAGGCATAGGACAAATTGAAGCCTTCTGACACAATGCAATAGTCGGGATGGGAAAGTATCAGTCATTAAGATGTCCCTGCAATGTAGACGGTCATGAAATGTGACCGAAGACTGGCAAACAGAGGCATTGTTAGTGTTTCAAGAAGCATTGCGAAGAAAACTATGCAGGACACGCAAAATAACATAGACACTGAACTTGCTACTAAACATGAAATGTGAGATACAAAAAATGTTAAATAAATCGTGGAGAGACAAACCACTCCATGTATAATATCTACAAGGCGCAGTCAATAAAGAACAATCATAAAGCGGAAGAATGAAGCCAGAATCGGAAGCGATTTAATAGCTGCTGGAGATCAGGCATTGAGAACACGACATTATGATAAATCGGTTCTCAAAATTTCGAACGATGATAAATGCCGTGTCTGCCAGGAACGAGTAGAAACCATTGATCATATCGTTTCAGCTTGCCCAATTCTAGCAAAGACCGAATACTTGAAAAGACACGACAGGTGTGTAGTTACCTCCACTGGCAAATCTGTACCGCCCTCGAAGTTCCAAACACATGCCCCAAGTGGTACGAACACTCACCACAACCGGTGGCATCTTTTGGACTCTCCAATATTGTACGACTAACAAATTCAAACGGGATCGCACGATAACAGCAAACAAACTATATTTTTATCTGGGATTTGGAGGAAAATCGTGTATACTTGTATATGTTGCTGTGTCTTGCGATCAGAACGTCGTAACCAAGGAGGGAGAGAAACGTCTTAAATACAAGTGTTTGGAAGTCGAGAGCAGCGAATGTGAGGCGTAAAAGTACAGGTCGTACATCAGAGCTCTTGAATTTGTTCTGCAAAATTAGTGTAAGAACTTGGCTAAACTCTTGTTCTTTCAAAAGACTGGGAAGTGCAAGAAGTAGCTTTATTTGGAACAGCCCACATTTTGCGCATAGTATTGTACAGGCCCCGACAGCCCCTAATTCTGCTCCTTAGGTAGCTGATCGCAATCTGGAGTAGATTTTATATTCAGCTGAGAGAGAGAGAGACAGAGAGAGAGACAGAGACAGAGACAGAGAGAGAGACAGAGAGAGAGAGAGAGAGCAGATCAGCATGAAAATAAACATTATTTTGAATGGGCAACTATGAATGCAATTAAAAATAATATTCAGAGGTGGAAATTCTCTTCAGGGAGCGAATACTATTTAGACATTTATTTTTATAATATATAATAGGCTGGTCATCAGAGAAAAGTCTCAATATTGAGAAATTTATGAGAAATAAGCAATAGAAATTAAAAAAATCCATTTTCAATGATATCCTCCATAATCATGTCAAAATTGTAAAGGAATTCCTTGCCTTACTCCAGTTATGATTTCATTTTTAGTAAGCATCATTTCCATTATAATTTTGTTAAAAAAAATTGAACAGTTATAATAAGATTTTCTTGAACTATCTTCAGAGCTTCATATTTTTATTAAAGATGTTTCCCTACGCAAAAAGCATCCACTATAAGGTAAGGTTTTTAATAGCTATCCATGTCAATCCCTACCCTACCACATGGTAACACCATTTACTATACATTTAATAATATTTTTCCTCTCCGCAACGAGGGATACAAGTCTGTTTTCTCATGTGTAAAATTGGCTTCTCTTTCTCGGTTCTTTCCCCTTTCCATTTTGAAACTCCCACACACAAAAAAAACGACGCAATGAAACAAACTTTTACACCGAACTCGCGCACAGCTCACGCCGAAGTAAACTGCAACACAAAATTACAACGAATGTAGGGAAAAACACCTGACACTTCCATTACCAAAACACTTTCGAAATTGCGCAGAGAGCGCGATCGACTCGAAAATGGCGCGTTGTCGCTAGTGAAAGAGCAATCAGAAAGATTATTTATCAGAAAGATATCTGTCAGATATTTTAACCAGAAAGACCTTGAAACGCAAAATAAATATTAGGTACTTTTATCTGACGGATAAAATATCTGTCGGGTTAGTATTCGGAAATTTATCAGGCACCGGTGAAACAGGCCCTAAATCTTGCAAATGCCCAGACCTTAATGCAGTAAGGTCTTGAAGCTGGCGTCGGTAGTTTACCCGTTCCTTGAAGACCCGGAAGTTAATCAGCTTCAAGCAGCACAGAGGTTAAGCACCGAGAGTCCCTGGACGGGTGACCCGCCGGAAACCCTGGCCGATAGGGATAAAAGCAATAACATTATGACAAAATGACTACGTTCAAGGAGAATTACTCCGTGTTCAAAGCCGTATAGAGTCTTGGAATTGTTTCGAGAAAGTCCTACATACATATATTATGCTACGGACTTCTGAATAAAGCATGATTTGGGGGAATAATTTGCTTGCTATTAAATATTTGTTCAGTATTGTTTTTAAAAATACGCTTCTGTGCTTTCTGTGTTAAATTTTTTTGTCGTGTGTTATTTATTTCATTAATTTTATTTAATGGTTAAATTTTTTCTCTGATTTTTGAGCAGGTGAATCTGAACAAGGATGTCTTGGTGATAATTACTGCCCTCCTAAATGTACATGCACTGGGACAGTAGTTCGTTGCAGCCGAGTTCGCCTAAAGGAAATTCCTCGCGGTATTCCTTCGGAAACATCAGAACTGTAAGTGAAACATTTGTAGCTGATTATTTTATTGATTTGCTTGGTTAAATACTTTAAAATAATATATTGTATTGACATTTATAATTCTAAATGACGCTCCATTCTACAATATTACGTGAAGTCCAAACGATTTAAGTAAAACAATTAAATAATATGAAACGCAACTTAACAGATGGTTTTCTATCGACGTAACAGAAATCTAAGCCAGATCAATTCTTTGCACAATTGTTAAGATTGTAAATAACATTCTCGCATGATCATTACATTAGTGGGTTCATTTTCCAAGTTAATGTAATTCTTTATAAAGTGCTCGTTCAGTTACATTAAGAGGTATTTTGTGTGTGATCAAATTCACAATGTCTCCCAGTTCTTAGTGTATGCCAGTGATTGCCAACTGAATGCTCTTTGACGTCAATCACACCCGCTCTCCAACTCCGCGCCATCTGCGGAGCAGAGCAATCCTCCGGTCGTGATGTTGAGCGCACATTGTTCCAATTACTGTGAGGTAATGGGCACAATTAGACTCAAGAATTTTTTTAACTCTATCAATTCAATTTTCAAAATGATAAGTATTGTTAAAGATTGTTTTGACTCAATATGGCAGATTAAATAATAAAACACAGCATACATAAATATGTAACACAATGAAAATAATAATTTGGTCAGCACAATTGTATATATTTTCCCCTCAGTATTATAATCCCAGCTATATTTGTACTTCTCATCCATTAGTCCAATATACTTCTACTATTTATTGACTGTAAATAAAAAAAAGTACCGACAAATTGTATAGCTAAATCGAACTTCCTAAATTCAAGAAGACTTCTAATGGTGCTGCAAAAGCTATTACTACCTTTTCGCATTGCTTATTTTTGGTATCAAATCGTTATCAATTTTGGTATCATTTTCGAAAATTCAGAGACCTCAACAATAAAAAGAAGAGAAGAAACGCCATTCTTTAAAGCGTCTCATTTTTATCCGTTAAAAAAAGGTCCAAGAAAAATTTGGAGCTGTTTTTGAGAAAAGTATTTTATGCTTTATTAATTTCAAGCAGAAATTTCCCGAAAACGTTCCGGTTTTTTATTCACAAAAATTGTATATAACCATTTTAAAAGGAAACAGATTTCGTTGAGGGCAAAAAATCTCGATCTTCAACTTTGAAGTTTTGGAAGGTTAACATTTTGCAATTTGGAAAAATACAGAGAGTTTGCCTGAAATTAGACTAGCACCAATTAAAACTGTCACAACTAGCCCCGGTCTCCCCTGTTAGAGGAAGCAGTGCACGGGAGCAAGTTCTACTAGATTTATCTACTTTTTCGGTAGCTGGGATCGACAACATGTTTTTTCTGTCGAAAAATTGCCACTTTTCGCTGCAACATTGTAATATTGTCTCTTTACTTCGTAAGTACGAGTACATAGGTCAAGAAGTAAAAGTAACGGAAGATATCAAATTTATGAAGAAATTATATAAAATTGCAGTTAGTGCTCTATTTTAATATAGCTTTGATGAACGCGAATTATACCTCCAAGTACTTGACTCGTGTTGGGCAACTTTAACTCACCAAACTGAAGATCCAACTTAATTTCAATTCATTTTTGTTTCCTTTACTTTCCCAGACACGTTTTCTAATTTTTTGTTGTAATATAGTACAGATGATTATTGTTTTGTTTCAGTTACTTGGACGTCAACGAAATACCAGTTATTCACGGAAATAGACTAAGCCATCTGAAGTCTCTGACAAGGCTGTAAGTAAACATACTTATTACTTCAATAATGAAATTGACCATCTCGCTATTAGTCGTATTTTTAGTCTTATATCACAAGATATCAACGTGAAGAACATAAAATCTTATGATTTTCATCTCTGCATGAAGAACTTCTGTTAAATCTTGATTGTCGTACAAAACCGTTGTTAAAGATATCACGAATTTCTTAAATTTCAGAATTTCAGAATACTTTTGTTCCATAACTAGCTAGCTGAAGCTCGTCTCAAGGTGCACCTGACTAAACGAAAAAAAATATTTTGGTATTCCTGACATAGATATTGTCTATGTCTTGGGGATTGTTTTCAGTGTGTATCAGTTTGATACGCATTTTTGTATAATCACAAAGTGGACAAATCACCTTCGAATATCATATTTATTAACTTCCCGTGTAATTACGAAAATCGTTTCGATGTGAAATTACATTCACAATTAGAAAAACATAAATTAATTAGTAACACCGAAAGAACTACAGATAAAAGAAACAACAAAAATCACATTCTGTACGAGATTAGAATCTTGAGACTTTTCAGTTCTCCTCTCAGCATCAAGTTTTCTATAATTTTCATCTTTAGGAAAATGTTCTTTCACAAATTCTTCTGTGGGAATTTATTCCAATTCGGAGCAATTCTTAGCAGTAATTTCAAACGCTCCATAACCTCTACTACACTTCGAAACAGTAATTTGGTGAATCCCCAAATCTATACGCATGTATTTTTATGTTTCTCACGTTCCTAACAAACATTACTATAGTTCGAATTGAACGCCAACTTCACAAATAACTTGTTTTAGTCGGAACCGGTCGGAATTCAAAACCGAGTCTACTACAGAGCTCGCTCAAAAAAATATGAGTAAATACTTGCAACACTGAGAACATTCTACCGTTTTATTCATATCAGTTTCGAGTATATTCTCACTTTCGTCGAGAAACGTGGGTAAATTCTCAAAACAGCCTCAGATACGAGTACATACTCAAACGACGAGTATTCAGAGAGTGTATTCATGTACTTTGAAGTATTTACTCAGAAAATGTAAGTAGCAAGATTTATTCATACCATCAAATGTGGTCGCAGCATTCCTTTTAATCTTCTCTACAGGGAACTTGTCAATTGTGCTATGTGTTGGCAAAGTAACTACAGTGATACATGCTCGTAGTTTTATCTGCTACGCAATTGGTTATTTTTTAATTTGTTTAGGTTGTAACTGGTGGTAGAATTGAGTTTGTGTTCAGTTTGAAAGGTGAATCTAATATTTGAGTGAAGAACTGCGAAGTAAGATATTGTGTCAATTCCGTGGTGGCAGCAGAAATATTGTGGTAATTCATAATGATCAAGGATCAAAAGATATCAACCGCAAAGTATATTACAATATAATTTGATATTAAGAATTAAATGCCATACCCGTGTTTCGGGAATAATCTATCCAATCTTCAGTAGCTTTTCAGAAAAGAAAACAGGTGAACAATAGTTATTTTTTATAACAAGGGGTTTAAGTAGAGCTTTATTTCCGAGGGGGAACCGTTGTGTCTCGAGCGCGGCGGCGCAAGGGACATAATTCTCCCGAGTGAATGAAGCTCAGGGAAGCTCGTGTCATTTAAAAACATTATTTTTAAACAATACTTCTTCGCGTGCCCACCAATGCCACGAATGACGAAACAGTGCAGTAGACGGCGGGCACCCTTCTGGGGATCACCTTTAGGTGGCTGCGATTTCAACTGGTTTGCAGTCTGCCTACGAGTAGAAGAAAGGGGGGATTGTTGAATGAGACAGGAATGTGGTGTTTCCAAATTATTCTCTAAGAAACTAGGCATGTCTACGAAAATGTTTCTGCAAATGGGGAAATGACAGGAAGGCAAGAAAAGTTTCAGAAGAAATTGCATTAATTGCTTATTTTAACAATAAATCAAAAGCAAAACTAGCTTTTTAGCAAAACTAAAGACTGCATACCTACAGAGTACATGAGCAACTTGGTTTTCTCGGTACCACGTGAGGGTTGCGATAAAGTCTGTTGGACAAACTGGACAATATCTTAAGAAAAAGTTATACCAACACTAATATGATTTGAAGAAAGACTCTCCCACTTGTGCCCGTGCTCAACATACCAAATCAATTGGACATTCTTTTAAATTCAATGTTACACAGAACTTGGACAAGGAAGTTAATTATAAAAAACATTAATTATAGTAATGATTCAAATCATCTAACAAACACTGTCAACAAAAAGATAGATACCGAGAACTTCAGCAAAATGTATGTCAATCTCATCAATACACAACATTTTTCCTATCAATCTAATTTTCAATAACTTGTATTTAATTTGAACATTAATACTTCATATTTCACAATATCTTCCTAAGCCAGTCTAGAACGAACTAACTATCCGTTAGTCATATTGCCTTCCCAGTTTTCTCAATCAGTTTGCACCTTTGGCTCAAATTAGTGCCTTCTTGTTGAATTTATTGGATGATTTCCATTACATCCTAAATAAAAATATTACTTTCGTTGTTTACCTTCTCCCCACAACATATGTTGCTTTTTTTCTACTAAATAAATCAGGGTTTCATCTACATTAGATATTCATATCATTTACGTATGCAAGTGAGACCAAGCATCTTTGTAATTATACATTATACAGCCTCTAGCTCTTGGTCAGCTCGCTTTTCACTACGCGGCCCCTGGTTCGATTCCCCGTCAGGCAAGTTTCTTGCGTGCCTTTTCCTTGCAATGTCCCAGTATATGTTGCCGTGTAGAGATGAGAAAATCCACTTCTCAGGTTGAGAAGACAGGAATACAGCGTGGGGATAACCACACCCTTTTAACCCATGGCCGCGAGGCAATGATGTCGCCTGTAGGCCTGAGCCCTTGCACGGGTTGTCACGCCAAGTATATTCATACATGCTTCAATTGGAAAGGAAATAAGAAAGGGAAAAATAAAAAAGGGGAAATTAATAAATAACAGACCAATTTGGCATGTTATAACTATACGTCACTAAGAAATTATATATCATTTTTAATTAACTATAGACCCTTACCGGAAGCTAGTGTTACCTCACTTAGTCATAGGAAATATTCTCTTTTCACCGCCCAACATTCGACCATTAGTGGTCATAGTGTGTGCCGGTATGGTGAGGTGGTATGTATGTTCCTTACTTCACGTGAGGTGCCTTATAGTCAAGCACATGTAGTAGATTATTTAATTATGTAAATACTCTGTTGGTGGTTGAAAGGTATGTCACTCTTGTAATTAAAAAAATATGTTCAACTGTAGATAGTGTAATTGTATCTGACATGTTTTGTTTATACGCTTTATGCAGTAGTGTTTGCTTCATTATCATTTTGTATAACCCTGAGGATGGAAGTACGTTTTCCGAAACATTAGCAAACAACCATGTTTTAATTTCGATTTGCTCCTACTTACCAAGCCTCGTTAACATGGCTCCAATATATTTTTTATGATCCTAAAGATTCTCCATAAATGGTTATTAGATATTTTTTTCATGGCTATTACCACAGTAATATATGGCAGCTCCAACACCAATATTATTCTTTGCACCTACAGTGTAAGTATGATAACACTCGACTATATATATATATATATATATATATATATATATATATATATATATATATATATAGTCGAATGAATTTCCAAAACCGTGGATTGTTGTGGCAAACTTATTAAATTGGAAGAACTTCGCGTGAATACGGAGAAAATGAAACTGTGAGGAATGCTACAAAACGAAAGCGTATTTAACTTGTTACGTACGACTTTTCACAGTTACGTTCGTAAGTGTGCAAATACCGATTTTCAAATGAATGTGACTAACAGCTTATTCTTATTAAACGTAACACTTTATTCACATAAACATTCAAAAACGTCTTCTTTTGATGTTTATACACATTCGCCTACAAAAGGATTAATAGAGAAATTGCAGAAGTAGAAGTAAATATATAATAGACTGAGTTTGTGGAGTTTTAATCTTTTCAAAAATTAGGGGACGAAATGTGTAAGTGGAAAGCAAATCCGGGAAGAATCAAATATAGTTGTAGATTTTGGGACAGAATTTTTGGGACTTATTGTAAACGATCATATAAGATAAAAACGCTGAAGAAGCTTAAAGGCGATATTTTATGTGAATTTTTCTGTACATTAGCAAAAAAGCGTACAAAATGGGAACTGTACTAAATTCTAACGATTCGCACGGTCATACGTGCAAATCTTAAATTTAATGTAATAGTCTGAAAGCATATTTTATTGTAATGTACCATATTTTTCAAGTTGCAAGGAACATTCATATATTATAATTAAATCAATTATTTTCATTACAAATTTCGTAGTGTTTTTAATATTTGGAATGCCAAAAAATAGGTGCTTCTCAAGAAACGACGTTGCGTGGGTTTGCGATGCGATAAAAATCATGTTTTTCAGCATTACTTGTAATCTATAGAAGCGTAGTCGGCGAACGGAAAACTTTCGGCCGTTGTGCATGTAAAACTATTTTCTTTAACCGATCTTCAACAGAAGAAATTTGTCAACTCTGCAAAACGTACGGATTCAAAGAAGTCACTGAGTGACTAACATTTCTGTGATCCCGCACTTCTAGCGGGAACATACAGTGTGTTAGAGACCAATTTTTGAAAAAGTTGGAAAATGAAAATATACGAATGACATTGAATAAAACTCTTTATTACATTATATTTTGTAAGTATGTTTTTCCATTATAGTTTAATATGTATTGTAACTAAAGCATGATATTTGTTTGATGCCAAATGTACTCTGGGAAAAAACCCAACCTGTTATCTCCACGGAATATTTTCTGTTGTATTCAATGTTATTAGAGTAATTTAATTTTTTGGTTATTATAAAAGTTAATCGTAATGTCGATAGCATAACAACTTTCATGCTACAGTGCTCAGCATCAAAAAACTTAAATGCTACAAGACAAGGTATTCATTATTTATTTTCTTATTCATTATTCACAATATTACCCATTGAGGTAACCAGTGGCCTAGTCAAATTGTCGGATTTGCATGCCTCTTCGTGCCGCTAGAGCGATCGTCAGGTGAATGGAGTCCAGTCGAGCGACTGGGGCGTAGGTCTCGTGATAATCTTGTCCGTACCGTTGAGAGTACCATTTCGCCACAATCCTTGCCTTTCGCCTCTCTAACACTTCATTCCTTCCATACTTTTTCCTCAGAACGAATCTGCTCCCTATCACACCCCTGTTTTCCGCTCTCGGCACCATCTCCCAAGTTTTCTTCTCTAGTATGGACTTTCCCTCGCTCGCCATAGCCTCTAACCATTCCTGAGAGTCCTCACTAGAAAGAGCTTACTTGACTGAGACTTCGGTTAAGTTCGCAATCTCAGCCCGCTCCTCTACACGGTGGCCTTCACGCCCGCCCTCGGGACTGGCCAAACGAGGTCTTCCTGGCTGTCCTGTGTAGATCTTGCGAGGTCTTCCGGGTAGCCGCCTGACCACAGTCTCTGGCTCCTCTGGCGCGAAACCTCGGAAATCCTCGCCTTTTGACTCTTCCTCTACTGAATTCCTATCTCTGCTGTTCCGTCCCAGGCACGCAGGAGGATCCCGGCCGAGGTTCAACTCTATGAAAGGACTTGCATCGGCCGTCACATCATCCCTTCCCAGCAGCCGGGGGACCTTTTCAGAATGGTGCTCCTCCGGTCGGAAGTCTCAGACTTGGTGCTGGATTCCGTCAGCAGCTGTGACACGAATTTGACGTCTCTGGACACCTCGACCTCACTTGGACCTCATCTGGACCTCACTTGGTATCCAGATTCTGAAGTCGTTAGTTTCCGCACCGTAGCCCACAAAGATGCCCTTTCTGGAGCGCAGCTCAAGCGTACCACTTCCCGGTGACCTGTCCATGACTACGACTTCACAGCCAAATCACGTAAAGACGGATACATCTGGTGCGGATAAAATATACCATGTTCACCGCCTCAGCCCAGAGAGGGGAGGGCAGCCCTGACTGGATTAACAAACACCTTGCCGCGTCCGTTAGCGTCCTATTCTTGCTTTCGACTATGCCGTTCTGCTCCGGATCGTACGGGACCGTTAACCTTCGTGAGATGCCGTGCCTCTTCAGAAGTTCTTCGAACTCTCGGTTCTAGTGGTCCAGTCCATGATCCGACTGGAGTCACTTTCCCTGCTGGGTGTCCATGGCGGCCCTGAAGCTGTCAAATTCATTAACAGCTTCGCTTTTACTCTTCAGAAACTTTCCTTCGCGAATGATCGAATGCGGCGTCAATGAGCGTGTAGAATTGTGTTCTTCCCATACAATGTTATGCGCATTGGTCCACATACGTCGGAGTGAATCAAGTCTTCCGCGACCGACGCACGTTCTGAGGCCTTAGGAAACGGAGTTCGGCACATCTTCTCCTGCAGACAAACCCTGCATTCGATGTCTTGTTCGATTTTGTTCACGACGATACCTGGCAGATGTCCGTTCTTTACAGCATCACGTAAATCCGGAACGTTCGAATGTCAGAGACGGATGTGCCAGTCTTTGCTTTCCGGTCTCTTCCGCACGTCTTCGTCCTCGGCAATCTTCGCGCACTCACAATTCTCTTGCGCACGGAAGACGTAGAGGTCGTTCTCGCACCTCGCGGTGAGCAGCACCTTCCTGTCGCCGTCTAGAACCTGGGCTTCTGTCTTCCGGAAATGGACACTGTTCCCCTTGTCCGTAATCTTGCTCACCGTCATCAAGTTCGTACATAGGTCGGGCACATCGGGTGTTTTGAAGGTTGATCACCTTTACGCTCCCATTCACTTCTGCCCTCGTTGAAACAGAGCTCTTTCCTCTCGTTTCCGTGCACGCGTTGTTGGCCAGGTTTAGTTTTCCACGCCCTGTATCATCGATAGCCTTGAAAGAGCTAATGTCCTTGCACATGTGCGAGGTACACCCACTATCGATGCATCATGCGTTCCGGCCCTCGCTGCCGCCGGTACGAAAACTCATTTCCGGTGTGTTCCTCGACACATAAGAGTAGCATCCTCGGCACCACTAGCGGTCTGCTGAATCTTCAGGTCCTGTGTACCCTTCTAGTCAGCGGACAATTCCTCCCTTCCGATTTCCGAGCACACATAGCACTTCATCCTGGAATCCCTTTCCGACTTCTCGCCATTCATGCTATTCCTCGACCTGCCTCCCCCGAACGTTCCGGCGACGAAGGCAGCAGAAGAAACAGAAGACGAACTTACTCGGTTAGTTTCTTTATTACTCATATCAGGTTATACCTTAGGGTGACCAGAGCCAGCGGTGCACGTTTATTCATTATGTCACTGCCCAAAATATTTGCGGCATGAACGAGTATGGGCGATTTTCACTGTCATGAAAAAGCTTCACTTTACACGTCAGGACCAGGAATTTTGAAAACCAGTTTCTCCAATACACAAAGCTTTTCTTAGCGGCAACCAGATAATTTTGAACTACTCAAGAATGCTGGCTGTAGCAACCTAAATGTCCACTTCAATTATAGATTTTCATATTAAGAAAATACAAATAACAATAGTATTGATATTATAGTTATAATTTATATATGTTATAAATGTTAGTAAGACACTGTGATTACATAGAACAATGTACATATTTCATGAATTTCTCTGTTTGCACAACTGACTCAGTATATCTGCGAAAGAAGTCTGCTCTGTTTCAGACAGACCCAAGAAGTGTTAGTTGTTTATAAATAAACTTAATAGTCGAATTTCGTTCGAACTTCCATTTGAGACATATGTGTTTTTGCGATTTACAACACGTCGTAAGTCTCACGGTTGTCTAATGTTGGACGTCACAATGCGTCATATGGTTGACGCCCCGTAGTTCGAGCAGCAAATCCAGCGATCAGCGAGTTACGTACGTGCTCCAGTGAACAAACTATTTTTTAATGTTATTTATGTGTCTCCCACTTTGAAATTTGGCAAATCTATACAACATTAGTGTAGAAATACGTGAGTATTTTTTACAATTAATTTAACTGTCGATCTACTATAAAAAATTGCATTTTAAGAATTAAAATATATTTTAAATATTTAAATAATATGTTTACAAAAATTATTTTTACTTAATGAAAGTACATATTTTTAAGTTATATTTGTGTAATTTTATTTTTATGTAGGAAACCGTATTTACGCAAAAAAATAAACATTAAGACGCGCATGGAAAAAATAATCGGTAATATTTCTAAAAGGAGAGGGACTAGAAAAAAATGTGTGTCACCTCCTTTCAACCCTAGGCCTCATAAGGAAAGTTTCAAGTCGCTAAAAATTAGTGATGTTGGCTGGGTGTGCGATTTGACGTGGGATGACTAATTTTCTTCTATCTGGGACTTTTAGGGGAATAGGGGTATGTCTATTTTAGAAAAATTACGACTTTACGGTTTAGCTGCTAGCGTTGTACACATACAGACCGACGGACAGACGTTTTGCCGTCAATCGATTTTTCGGTATCGATGTATCATTCTGGTCAAGGATTTTTCGGTATCATTCTGGCTACACCACGTGTTATAGCTTTTTTTCTAAATTTAGCAACTGGATTTATTCACTTTTCGTTACAAGGGCCCGCCTATAAGAGTTGTTTTTGCTGGATATTCGCCGCTTTTTTCCCCGCAGTATTACATACCTTTCTATTACTTAAGCAGTAGCGAGAAAGTAATTACAGTCTGTGCTAAAGTAACGTGATCCACCTCTATAGAATAAGATAGGAATGGTCAGGGCGCGCGGTTCAGGTATCTTTAGCGTTGATGTTTAAATCCGTTTGTATGTTATTACTATACATGTAAGAACGTATATTCCTCCAGGGAAAGCCGTTCGCATGTACCATTTTGCAACTTCAAGTTTTCTTCCAGCGTTTTCTTATCGTTTATGACTTCAATGCCCAAACCCTACTTGAGAGGAGAGATGAATTCTCTCCGAGATTTTGAGACATTCATTATCCAAAAGAACCTAATTCTTTGAATACTGGCCCTTTTGTAAATAGCGCAGGTCCGATTTTTATTAAAATCTTGCAGATTTTGAATGGAGATGGTACCTGGCGGTCCTCTTCACGAATTTGACACGACCTACGGACTACAGACGGTAATACATTCTATAGTAAATCACTATAGACGTAATGGAGGATTACTCCATGTGGATAAAAAACATTCTACACCACGTTCTTGTATGTTGTGAACGTTGTCACAGACATTGTGACAGAACGTTAAAAAAGTCTTGAAATCATTTCACACAATATTTCAAAATAGTTGTGTATTACATTTTAAATAAAATCATGAGCATTTTCTCAGGTTCACTACCGCTAGTATGTTAAGAAAGTTGTAGGTGTGTTAGACTGTGTTAGAATAATACGCGGGTAGTCAAGCGGTGGCCAGTTTACATTCAAATCCTTGAAGCAAACAATTTTATTTTTTGTTTTTTCAAACTGTTTGTAAGGATAAAGCGTATTACTACATTAAATTCAAAGTCAGATTTACACATTTGCACAAAACATTTTCAATTTTCTTAAATTTCAACTATATATTTTCACTGAATATATGTCCGAACCTGACGCGCTTCGATTTTTTTAGAGATGGGTGATATTTTAGTAGGATAGAGGTTGCAATATTGTAGTATTGCGTAACCTTTTCCATTAATATGAGTTATATTATATTGTATACTATGTTGTATAAACTCGGTGGTTACCGCAGAAATCTTGTGGAAATCCATATGAATGAGTAATACGCTTTTTTTTACTTATCCAGTATGTGTTGTAAATAAACCGACTAGTTTAAGTTTTTGTTTGTTTGTTTGTTTCAGAGACCTAAGCAACAATCAGATTCAAGTTTTATCGAATTTTACTTTTGCAAATCTCTCCAAGCTCTCTACTTTGTAAGTATTTGATATTCTTAAGAATGCAAACTTATCTATAAAATATTTTATAAATTAGTATTTAACGACTTGTAAATGGAAATGTTGCAAATTCATTCTAAATGTAAATAATTTCTTGGCGTTTTCTGTTGCAGGATAATCAGCTACAACAAATTGCAGTGTATTGAGAGGGATGCTCTCGCTGGCTTGACGTCTTTAAGAATAATGTGAGTATTAATTGCTACACCAATGCTATTGATCAAAATTTTATGAACGAGTGTTGATTGGTGGAATATAATTTTAAAAAATCCCGGAATTTTCATAGATGTCTGTTAATATTTATATTTTGTTGGGCAACGTCTTCATAATTTCACAATCAAAAGCATTGGATCATAGCCCGGGCCCCAGCAAAAATTACCACGTTTGATAAGCCCAAAGTCAAAAGTTTTTGGAAATTAGTGAGAGTTATGAGGAACAGGGAGAAGCAAGAGTCGGCGTTGCGCTGCACACATTTTTGAATGTGTCAAATAAAAACTCTGCCATTTGAGAATGCGTGGGCTGCCTACGTGCGCCGGTGAACAAACTATTTTTTAAATTTTATATTTGTGTGTCACTTTGAAATTTGCCAGATGTACTTAATATCATTGTAAAAATAAATTAGTGCTTTGACAATTAATTTAAGTGTCGGCCTAAAGTAAAAATTTGCATTTTAAAAATTAAAATATATTATTATATATTATTTAAATAATACGTTTAAAAATATATTCACATCACATGAAAGTACATATTTTACGTTAAATTTAAGTGTAATTTTATTTTTCGGAAGAAAACTGCATTTGTACAATTTTTTTAAAAATTAGCTCGCCCATGATTCTTCGGAAAAAGTAATTGATTATTTTTCTGAAAAGGGTGGGAATAGAAGAAAAAGAATAAAATACGTGTCCCATATTTTCAAGTCGCTACAAAATAGTGATGTTTCGTGAGTGTGCGACTGGCGTGGGATGACTCATTGTAACCGTCGACGCGCGTCGGCCGTTGACCGCCGGCGCGCCGCCTTCTCAGCAGCGAAGGGAATGCCGCCCCCACCTGGGTAACTGACGCGCGCGGAGGGGGCAGGCGAGAGGGTTTTGGAACGCCGAGACCTCAGGTTGTGGGGCTTAACGAGGCGATGATAGCCAGCTTTCGGGGAGCAGTCGGTATCCGATCTTTTAGTGTCCCTCCTACTTACTAGCTCACGAGCAGTCCCGAACCGATTTTTAATGAGTTTTAATCGGTTACTATATATA